GTACTCATTTACCACCTCTTTCTCAAATAAGGGCTAAAATTGAAATTACCAAAAGAACAAGGGTTTATAAGGTATACCTAGTGTTGGGATGTTACATTTATGTCTCTAGAAAATCATGAGTTTTCCTTGGAGCTGACTCACTACGAAAAGTTTTCCCATGGGAGCCCAATGTATTTTTGTGAGACATCAGTTGGGCTACTCAGGTTTTGTGTTGGATTTAGAGTTCTTGTCCAGCTCCTAGAAATGATCATTTTCCTATTGTCAAGGACTGGAAAGTGTATATTAGTTTTAGAGTAAAGTATGTGCACATTCAACGAAAACAATTTTTCAGGTATCGTCATTATGTGTGTGTAAGAGGGTGTTATAGGACAACCTTCAAAGTAGGCTATAACCACAAGGGTATGTAGTGATGTGGTTGGGAATCGATTATGCAAGAATAGTATATATGCGTTTTTTGGATTGTGTTTGTTTGACCCGTCATATATCGGTGGATTTTATGATTATCTTAGACTTCTACAACTAGATGAGGGTTTTCTGGCATTAGGTAACAAAAGATTAGATGTCGGAGTGATGATTCATTAATAATTCTTGATGTGAGGCTTTGGGTTTGTGTAAGGTTCAGTTTGGAACGTCATGTAAACCTGAATGGTAAATCGGTTCGAACAGAACATGGTTCAATCAAAATTATTATTTGGTGATTATGAAAATTTCCTTCGGTTTGGGAGTCTTAATGAGTAATTGGTTATTGTCGGAGGTTTGATCATACTTTTCATTATTTGGAACCTTGTTTCAGTGGTTTAAGAGAGTAATTTCGTTAGTGGTTTGATGTTCTGCAGTCATTTTGACCCATGGATAAAACCAAATGAAGCTCCAGCTAGGTGTTGCAAGAAAATTTGCGCATTGGAGTGGATGTAGTGAAGAATCTGATTGGGAGGTACTTCTTGTTACACTTTGAGTGTTTAAAGCCTTTTAGAAGAGCTATTGGTGGCTAAGCGTCCGACAGGTTTTGAGACGAGTGTTTGGAAGTATGTTGGTTGGTTTGAAAGTCAATGATTATTTATCAAAATTTCCATGTTGAGTTTCTGCACTTATGGACTCTTTTTTGTTTATGAGAGTTGTTTATTTTGAGCTTAGTTACCAATGTTAGGGTATTGGTCCTCGAAAATCTCGAATCGTTATGTTCACAGTAGTACCCAGTTGTGATGTGATCTATCAGGTGGTTGCACGTTTGAGACTGAATGAGAGTTTTCGATATGACGTGAGATTATGACTCGTTCATTGATATGCTCATGGGAACAAAGGGTTAGTGATGACTTGTCAGGAAGTCAAGTGTGCGTTAGAATGTCCTTTTGGGCATGGTTTTCCATATTTGGGATTTGTTGAGTTGTTATGGTCGGAAGGTTCGAGTAGTCACTTTAGCGTTCTATGATTATGTTCCTAGTCAAAGGCATCGGGGGATGGGTATATCAAGAAGGTGATAATCAGTCTTAAAGTAAGTTTTCTGAGGTTTCAGACTGATGGACTTTCGGTCTTCTGAAGTTTTTGGGTTGGTTGGTGGTTTTATTGTAGAAATTCCTGATTTTGGGTGGTTTCACAAGGAGTTTGAGTGAACTATCGGTGATGAGAAAAATAGTGGTTGCAAGATGTGTAAGTTCATTTTGTTATGTTTGAAATGACGACATTATCTAGGTTTCGAGTGGCATCGGGAACCCCATTTGTTTGATATGTCGAACTATGGGTGATTGGAAAAGTAATAAATGATAGTGCAAGGGTTGTCTGTAATTTAGCCAAGGTGGATTTCGAGGGCGAAATCCAGTTCAAATGAGGGAGAACTATAACACCTAGGTTCCAATTTTGGTAATAAATTCCGAGGAAAGGTAGAAGCAACGAACAAAGCAGGAGACACAAATGAATTAATCACAAATATTATATAACACAAAGACAACATGACACGGTGTCATGTTTATGTTTATTAACACAAAAATAGATCGATTAAAACACCAAATCCCAAACACGACACGATAAATATACCATAATACATTTATTAGTTTTTTTTTATAATTCATAATTGATTATACTTGGCATGAAACGACGTCGTGATTTTTATACTTGACACAACCGCAACGCAAATATGAATTCAAATTTCGACTTTGTCCTAGTTTTGTTTTGAGTCGTATATTTTTGTAGCGACGTGTCTTAGAGTCTTAGATTGAAATCCCTACTTTTGATCTTATCTATTTCATTTTAGTTATCATTTTCCATACTTTAGCGAATTGGACTTTTATTCACTTTTAAACCATTTAATAAATATATAATAACAGAAATAATTTATAGGTAAATACTTATTTAATTATGTATATAAGATTGAAAAGTTAAAATGTTATGATATTAATCCAACGTTTTGTATTTACAGGTTAACGAACAAAATTACATAAATATATCCTATCATGAGTGTATGATTTTATCAAGAGTTGATCTCCAATGGAGTAGTATTTACATTATTTAAATGACTCTCTAGAATCTCCAAGTCCCATTCAAGTTCTACAGGAGCAGATGTGGCTGCCTTGTAACTATCTGGAAAATGAAAATCTTCAGCAGCATCAACTTGAGGCACCACCATTGATTGATTTAAATACCTTTGCAGACTTTCCAAGCTCCATTCACCTTCTAGTGGGGCGGATTTCATTGCCTCATAACCATCAGGAAAATGAAAATCTTCAGCAGCATCGACTTGAGGCACCACCATTGATTGATTTAAATACCTTTGCAGACCTTCCAAGCTCCAGTCACCGTCTACTGGGGCGGATTTCATTGCCTCATAACCATCAGGAAAATGAAAATCTTCAGCAGCATCACCTTGAGGCACCACCTTGGGTTGATTTAAAAACCTTTCCAGACTTTCCAAGCTCCATCCACCTTCATCATGGGCAGTTATCGTTGCCTCGTAACCATCATCAGGAAAATGAAAACTGTCAACAGCATCACCTTGATCCGAAGCATTTTGCATGTCGAGTAGGGTTGGCGCATCTTCATTAGAAATTTGAACCAAGACCGGTACTTGGCCGCTACTGTAATCAATTAGTGGTTCCATAGAAGAAGAATTCGAAACACCATTTGAAAACACAAAACCCTTGGATGCCGTACTCGATGAAACCGTATTCGTCTGATCATAACATGTCTGTTTGTTTTGCACTGGTTGTATGGAATTCAAACCATGGTCAGTAGTATTCCTTGTGTAGGCACCATTGTCATCTTGTGGCTGTGCGGAGGAGGCAGGTGGTTCAATAGAAACAGAACCTGAAGCAGCACTATAAGAACTTTGACAACCGTTGATTGCATTGGAAGTAAACTGATTCTGATAGCATGGTGGTGGTGCTTGTATTAGACAACTCCGACCTTGAACAGTACTAGTCACCGGTTGCTGTTGCATTGGAATAGGATAGGGGATGGAGTTCATTCTGATGTCACCATTGTTAACCCATGTCTGACCAGTCGACCCCATCGGAGGAGGTGTTAGCTGTCCTCTCATATCAAACTCGTGGACATTTGCCACCATCTGAACACGGCAGGTATCCGAATAACGATTAGTTTCTTGAACGTCAACTTGTTCGGGGTGGTGATCATTTGAAAAATTGATTTCATTGTTTTTTGATACTCGTCGTCTCTTGGGCAAAGATATATTGGGTTCTTCCATCGCCTCCTTTGGATCTTCTTGATCCGCCCCTCGACGTCTTTTACGACTTTGCAGCTTCTTGTAAATCTTGCACAGCACCCATTCGTTCAACTACAAGAAGACCAGATATTACTTGAGCATACAATAATATGGAGGATTATAGCAATCTTACTTATAATTTATATAATAATAAACAACAGAAATTTCTTACAATTAATTAATTCTACATACCTTGTCTCCGTTTTCAAAAGGAAGATTGGGTCCATTGATTGTATATTCATGCATTAGCCACATAGTTTTGATGTCATTCTCAAAATACGCAAGAGATCCCTTGTGGCCAACCATTTGTCTTGACGTGGCATCATACACCGGCTTATGTTTTTGAGTAGTCTTCCAGGTCCCAAGTTTTCCGAGTACTGCTCTATCAGGTCGATTTCCTTTTGGGTACTTTCGATCCCGAGAAGTCAGAAAATACCACTTGTTCTCATGGGATCGATAATGTTCTGCAAGAAGCCAATTAAAACATAAGAGTTCAATTAACATCAAAACAAACAATTAAGAAAAAAACCATCATGCATGCAATGTATCTTTACGTACTAAACAATAGTGTTAATTATATAGAATCAGAGCTAACTCAAGAAAAAGACCATCATTCAAGATGAATCATGCATGTATCTTCAATTAATTAGTTGACTACTAACCTGCGAGTTCTTCCGGCCTGTGGTTGTAAATGTTGACCTCGTGTAACCGGCACTTGGGGGGCTCTCTTGATTCAATCTTGGCGTTCAGGTAGTCTACGATGAGCTCTGAATCCGTGGGACAGAATCGATATCCGGAGGGAAGCTGATCAGCAAAATCCAGGGTAACTTGCTTACCTCCGTTACATGAATATGGGATGATTTCTTGCTCGACGTCCATTGATCGTTAAGAGTTGAGATCGATGGAATTAAGCACAAGTACTGGTGTGAAAGTCAGAATAAAGTCAATGATGAGTATGAGTAATCGGCAAACTTATTTAGATATATATGGTGGTGTGAAGAGGAATAAAAGGAAAGGTTTTGACTGACGCGAAAGGTTCGGTAACTGTATGCAGTCTTTCTGTTATATAGTAATCTAATTGGATTTTTTTGTTTACTCAGTTAAAGGATAATAAAAAGTTTAACCTATCTTTGTTGTAGGAAAAACTTGCTTATTTTTGTCGATAAATAGTGAAAAACGTATTTAATTAATGTAATCTTACTACTAGAAAATAGAGCAACAGCGACAGAATTTTAGTGACGGAAAATTCCGTCGGAAAAAAACAACAGATTTCAACAGACAACTTACTATGATGTTAGCAACGTTTTTGCGACGGTTTCGCAACAGAATAAAATTGGTCAGTAACCCGTTACAACTTTCCGACGGTTTACCAACGGAATTCAACGAATTTGAACTTCCGTCGGAAATCCGTTAGTGAAATTCCAATTTCTTTTTTACTTTTTTAAATAGATGGGGCAATTTGATAAATTACAACTATGTTTTTTTTTTTTTGTAGAAGAAGGCAAAGGGGAAAGACCCTTTGTGGAGAGACGTTTTCAAGCAGACTCACCTTGAAAAGAGTGCAAAGGTGAAGTTGGCATCTGGAGAGTTGATTGGGAGCCAACCTGAACATTGGGTTAATGAGAAGTCTTGGATCGTATTTGTAAGTTATCTTTATCCTTTTTAGATTTAAGATTTGATGTATTTAATTATTTTTCAAGTGTTTAGAGTAGTAACAATTTTATGTTTTGGTAAATTGTAGAACAAATATGAGAAGGCAATGTGTGAGAAATATGGCCCCGACCCTAGTCAACATCCGTTGGGTGATGTTAAAATATGGGAGCATTGTGTTGGCGGGAGAAAGAATGGGCGAGTTTACGGGGTAGGATCATCAGATCCAGACAACGTCGTGTCGGGGACACCTTACGAGTGTGGCTCATCATCCCATGATCATCAAAAGAAGGTATGTGTCAATGTTATGATAAAAATAGTAAAGTATGTTGCTATTTCCTTCTCTATTTTATATTAATTATATGTTTGGCGGACCATATTTTAAATAAATGAATTAGAGAGCATGTTGGAACAAGAAGTGGAGAAACGGGAGGAAATAAAAGCCAAATTTGATAGTGAAGTGAAGTTACGACACGACATGGAAAGCCGTCTTCTTGGAAAAATGAATGATCTTTTGAAGCAATTCACCGGAAGATAAAAGGTAGTATTTGAGGGCATTTATGGTATTTGACAATATATAAACATCTCTCTAGCTAACAACTCTCAATGATACGTGTGTAATCCACGAAAAAGAATTCTCTATTGGTTGTTGATAATATTCGACAATATAGATTGAAATTTTTGGTATTTGACAATATGGAGTTATAGATTTAATGTATGTCAAATGATTGAAATGTCAGGATTTACTTTTATATTTGGCTGTTTTAAAATACAGATTTAATGTATGTTTAAAAAATTTGTGTTCAATATGTCATTATTTTTAGTTTTTAGTTTCTTCATTAATTTGTAAATTTTTTTATAATGCCAAAATTCGTCGCTAATCTGTTACAAAAAATTTGTAGTCATTTCGGGATTCCATCGGTAATCTGTTAGTAAGTTATTCTAAATTCTGTCGGTAATACTTTAGTAAGTTATTTCAAATTCTGTTAGTAATCTGTTAGTAAATTTTTCTGTCGATAATCCGTTGCAAAGTTGAACTATTTTGATATTCCTTAACAAACAAAATAACATGCATGATTTCATCAACAATTTGTATACGTGGATATAGTATTTACATTATCTAAATGATTGTCCAGAATCACCAAGCTTGATTCATGTTCAACAAGAGCATATATGGTTAAAGATTTTTTAGTAATGCACTTTGTGAAATGAGGTTGTTTTTAAGCCTTCATTTGAACCTGAATGATTGTTTTTTTTTGGTAATATTTAGTAATGTAAATTACACGATTCGTCCATGGCTTAAGTGCAAATTGTCGTTTAAGCAATATTTTCAAAAATTATCTCGGATCATCCTTATAATGTTTTTTTTTTCACTCGGACGATCCCTGACTGACATAAAATGACTATCCCAATAATGTTTTGTTCCACCATTGCACCATCATCCTTAACCCTTTGTTATCTCTCTCTCTCTCTCTCTCTCTCTCTATATATATATATATATATATATATATATATATATATATATATATATATATATATATATATATATATATATTCTCTCAATCTCTTTCTTATTTCCTCTCACTTTCTTTGTTCATCTGTTGAAGCACAGAAAACTAGATTATTAGAATCATCACCGATAAAGTTGGGACAATCACCAGAAACCTACAGAAGAATGCCTCATTCGTGTTTCACATTATGTCCAGAAATCCAAGCCCCGACCTCGTTGGTGCTGAAGTAACACATCGTCTTAATAAAGTTAATCTTAGTGGGTAATTCGAGTTATGAGTTTACGCAAATTCAATTTACTTCAAATGACCACCTCTCTCTCTCTCTCTCTCTCTCTTCACTAATGGTGGTCGTGTGGTTCTGACTTCTAGAGTTTCAACTATACAATCATGTTTGGTCATTGGTTTACAGAGAATTACATATTGTTGAGATATTTTGGGTTTTTTTTGGAAGGAGTTTTGGAGTTTTCAGTATTTTTAGATTTTTGGTTGATGATGAGAGGAAGTGAGAATAATAGTGGACACGGACGTTGGTAGGTGGTTGGAGGTGGTGGTATGTGGTCAGAGATGTTGTTTAGTGGCTGGTCGAAGTGTGGAGGTATCTAGATGGATCTCCACATTCACTGGATGGCCGGAGATTAGAGGTCTCCAGATGCATCTCTTCCTTCGATGTATCTAGTGTCTGAAATTGCAACCCCTAAAGCAAAATAATGAGATTTACGATGCTCCTTCCTCACCGATCTCCTTTTTCTCATTAAGTTGGAAAAACGATATTCAAAGTCTCTAGCAACTTAAAGGAAAACTCTGGCTTCTAATTGATGGGTTTGGATGAAGAGAGAGTGATAAAGAGGATGATGTGGGGTCCATTATTTTAATTAAACAAATAAATATTTAATTAATTAAATATAACTAACAAATAAAAATAAATCAAAAAGGTAAAGATAAGGGCATGATCGTCTTTTTATGTCTGGCCACCGACAATTAGGATGAAGCCTGCAAAATTAAAAAAAAAAAACAAATAAGGGACTCTTCGAGTTCATTTTTAAATATATGGACTGAACTTTCAATTTGGCATTTGTGTTGTAACACCCATAAAATTCAAGCCAATTTAAAATTTTTTAAAACATTTAAAACCATTAAGTTATTATAATTTGTTTTCAAAATAGTTTAAACATCAGAGTATCCCTACAATCAAATCATGAAAATATAAGGAGGTACACGATCACGCCTTCATCTTCCCGTGATCATCAGAAGTACCTGAAACAATAATCGATAAATGTACGCTCAAAGGCTTAGTGAGTTATCCCCAAAATACCAACAACATACAATCATAATCATATCATATAATCAAGCACAATGTGTTAAATCAGCCATCAGCCTGACTAGACCGCCTCGCAGGACCATCAATCTATCTGGACCGCTATACGAGCCATCGACACGTCTGGAACGCCTTTCAGAGTGTAACATCCGTAGATCCGGGCTAGTCAATTTAGAGACGATAAGCATCAAAAATGACTTTTTGATGGAAGATTATTTATAAGGATTAATCTTAACCAAGTTTTAGTATGTCACAAGGTTTCCGTGTATATAAAGAACGCCAAAATCCGAGTTATAACGAAGAAGTTATGATCTGTCGAAGTTTCGCGATAGAACCGGCACGACACAACGTGACGTAAATAGTGAATTTAAATTAGAGCGATATTTATCCAAAACAATCTAAATGAGAATTGAATATCTCATCGATAGTAGTCCAACGATAAAAAGACAGATGAAAACGAAGTACAGATGAAGGAGTTATGAGTTTATAACGGAGTTTTCCTGTCCCGGCCTACTAAAAATAATATATAAGTAATATAATTATAATATATTAAAAATAAAGTCAAAATTAGCCAATGGAGTCTAAACGAGAGTTGTAGAGCATCATCTCACCTTCGCGTCAATATAAAGAACGTCGAAAATAGAGTTCGTATACGAAAGTTATGAATTTCTGAAGTTCGGGGCGCGAAACCCCAAAACTGTCAGAGACCACAATGTGGCAAGCAGTGCCACGACGTGGGAAGTCACCTCCGGGAGTCCCCCAGATGCAACTTGGGATGACGCATGCAGTGACGATCAAGCCCACGACGTGGAAAAAGGTTCCACGACATGGAAAAGGCCAGTTTTGCCCTATAAATAGATTTGAAGGGCCACCCGAGTTTGGTTGCTCATTCTCTCATCTTTCTCCCATATTACATCGATTTACGTGCAAAGTACCCCCGAATCCCCGATATCAACCCCGAGACCCGAAGCAAGTCCTGAAGTCCGAAAATCCCAAGAAGAAAAGAGTTTCCGAGCCGAAGCTCTGCCCGCGAGAAACTAGGTGTGTGAAGTGATCCCGGTTTCACCGAAGAATAGAAGAGTCGTAGTCTTGTCCAATCATCTTCTGATCAAGTGAGTGTATATTCACTTTCATCTTACACATAGATATGAAGTATTTTATAAAATACGTGCTATGTGTATATATATTGTTGTTTATATGTGTGAGTATGTGATCACTTTCTTCTAACATATATATATATATATATATATATATATATATATATATATATATATATATATATATTAAGTATTTGCTATGAAATACGTGGTATGTGTTTATATATTGTTGTTTATTTGAGATGAGTGTGGAATGGATGTTTTATATAGGTATTAAATGAGTTAATATGTATATGTATTTTATATCTACAAATATGTTGGGTAGAACATGGGTAGATGAATTAGATGATGTGTGATGATAATTAGGTGATGAGAAATAGGTGATGATAATTAGGTGATGAGAAATAGGTGATGATAGATAGGTGATGATAAATAGGTGATGTGAGATAAGAGGAGATACCATAACCTTGACGGGCGATGTGGAAATTTGGCGATGTAGTCATCACCTAGAGGTTATGAGCCTGTTGGTGTTTCCACGGACTATTCTAGATGACCCCGTGGAAACACCAGCAGGCTCATAACCTCTAGGTGATGAATTAGGAGTCGAGGCGATGTTGTGGCTACGTATTCATGCGATGATACTCTAACCCTTACTATGAATTATGAGTCCAGGCGATGTTGTGGCTACGTATTTATGCGATGATAGACTAACCCTTACTATGAGTTACGAGTCCAGGCGATGTTGTGGCTACATATTCATGCAATGATAGTCTAACCCTTATTATGATTTACGAGTCCAGACGATGTTGTGGCTGCGTAATCATGCGATGATACCCTAACCCTTACTAGACATATATGGTCGGAGTGATCCCCGAATTAGTATTGTCTATGCAATGTAGACGATGGTCCTTAGGAAAAGTTCTTAGGAACAAGCATATAAGCATATAAGATGTAAGGAGATGAGCGGTAAATATGATATAGGAGATGACCCTTAGGATAATATCTTTAGGGAAGATTAAAAGAAGATAATGGGGATGGGTAATTGGGTTGATTGTTTGATGATTGAATATAGTAATTATATTATTGTGGGTTGAAAACCCTATATGCTCACCAGGCTCCCAAGCCTGACCCACTCAGTTTAATTGTATCACAGGTATTGATACGAAGCTGCTTTGCACTGAAAGATTAAAGGATATGTAAATCACTAGAGTAAATGAATGTATGTTCTGTTTATGCTTATGTGTCTGTATCGGAACATCACATCCCGAGGTTTTATTATAGGATGAAAATACATTCTCTTTGAGAAATGTTTTGATAAGTTTTTATCATATCTTGTTTTGGGAACAAATTCCGCAACCGTTTTCTTTAAACGATTACTCTGATTTATAAAACAAAGCATAAACAAATCGGTCTTTTCTGGCCGTGAAATTGGGGATGTCACACAGGGCCTTCAGCCTATCCGGACCGCTCGCCGGGCCTTCAGCCTATCCAGACCGCTCGTCGGGCCTTCGACCTGACTAGTGTGCCCTCCCGGGTCTGCAGTCTATCTGGTCCGCCATGAGTATCTTGGCCTACAGCACAAAGTAGGACCTGCCTCAACCCAATCCCCCAAACC